TCAATTATGAAAATGCATTTTTTCGTTTGGTTCTTCCGCTAGTATTGTCCAGTAAATCGTCTGTTAAAGAATTAGTCTGAGGTGCAAAAAAAAACCTATATTGAACACGCGGGGTGTCAAAAAAAAAAAAAAAAATCAACAATAGTACCATGCATTTCAAGTGGGAACACATTCAAGTTGAGTCTTATTTTGAGGCAAAAAAGTCTAGTTTTAATTTTTTACCTTATTAGATTGATAGATTTTAACCTCTCATATTATGTTATAACGTTTTTAGCTTCTCCTCTTTTTGAATTAAAGAAAATAACTTTCACTTATAACATTTTATTAGTTATATTAGTTGATTATTAATTCTATTAATTAACTATTAATTGATTATTAACTAAAAAAACTTACTTTGAGCTAATAGAATTAACAGTCAGTTAATAAAATTATTTTGTTAGTTGACTGTTAACTCTATTAGTTAACTGTTAGCTGACTGTTAACTGAGAAAAACCTACTTTCAACTAATAGAATTAATAGTCAGTTAATAGAGTTAAAAATTAGTTAACAAAACTAATGAAATATTATAAAATTGAGGCTATTTTCTTCAATTCTAATAGGTAAAGGACTAAAAGTGTCATATTATAAGATAAGAAGCTAAAACTTATAAATCTAGTAAGGCAAAAAGTTAAAAGTAAGTTTTCACCTTATTTTGAATGCATTCAACTTCAACTAGAGGCTAGTTGCTCTTTGGTTGATGACCTCAAGGTTTCTAGTGGAAAAACTATGAATTGAAAGCTAAAATGAATATTTTTATCCAAAGTTTTCATTTTAATGTCAAATAGAGCATTATAATTTCTAATGACGTAGATCAAACTCTTTTTTATAGTTATCTGTTGTGTGAGCATTTTCATCATTTACCAAACAATTCTTTTTCTTCTGTTCTAAATTCAAGAAAACAGAAGTTAAAATCTAGTGAAGGAAAGGTGACCACAGCAACTCCAGCTTCATTGCTTGAGGTTAAGGTGACACTTCCAATGAAGGTGATATCTGGGGACAAAATAGTTGAAAAGAAGTATGATCTACCAAAGCTAGCTTAGATTATGAAAACCCAGCTAGGTGAAGGCATCTTAGGGACCTTGTTCGAGGTTGTTCTTAATTGTGGTTCAATTGTCACCATTAGAAAGATCAGAGAAGGGATGACTAATGTGGTTGATTTTGAGTTGTGGATCAATTTCTTTGGAAAAATTTGCGATCTATGGCTTTTGCCTATAGAGTTCAATTTCTACTATGGAGGAGAAGCATTTGTTATTTATCAATATTTGACCTTGGGAAGTCTAGAGGAGCTTTTACATGGTAAGTTTAAATCTTGAATTTCTCAAATTTCAATTTGTTAGTTGTATATCTTTTGAATGTTAAACAAAGTTAACCCTTAAACAAAGTTAACCCTTTTTTTTTTCAATATTGTAGGAAGTGAAGGAATAAAATTCAGTCCACTAAGTTTGGGAATTAGGAAGCAAATAGCATGGTGTGCAATGAAGGCTGTGACATCGATCTAGAGCAGGGAAACTAGAAGTGGTGAAAAAGTACTATGTGGGGTGGTCAAAGCTTCTACCATCTTGATCAGGATTGATTTCTCCACTTGTCTTTCTAGCTATGAAACGCCTTATTTAGTACCTATGGCAACCATAATCCAAAGAAACCCTAACCCATGTGGTGCCTAAGTTGAGATAGACTCAAAATGGTCCAAAAATGTTAACACAAAAGTCTGATGTTTACAGCTTTGGGATGCTACCATTGGAACTCATTATAGGGAAGAGACCTTCGGTGGTTGACTTGGGGGAGTACATATTGAAGAAGAGAATGGAGGTAGGATTGAATCGTAAATGTGATAAGAGAATGGGAGATGTGAATAAAAATGTTGTTGCGATGATTGAAATTGCTAGGTTTTGCCTCTTGCAAAATCCACAAGATAGACTTTCAATGGATGAAGTGGTGCAATTGATTGAAAGCTTGTAGGATTAGAGCTCTCCCATTTCAATATCAAGTTATTCCACCCTTGTAAAGATATCACAATGCCATGAAGAAAAGATATAAAAAAAGAGAGAAGCCTTTTTCTTTTCATTTATGTTGATATTTTGTTTTGGTATGTTGTGTTATGGATTAAGATTCAATTCTTAAAAATATCAAAAGTTGACATAAAAAATTACTCATGAATCTTTCAGAATCAATGTGGATTTTTTATTTTTACCAAATGGAGGGTTGAATACTTGAATGTTGTACAATACCTCATTACTAACAGGCCAAAATAATAAGAATAGTTAGTGTATTTTGATCTTATTGAGTTTGATATACACACTACAAGATGTAGCCATAAAGGCGTCAATGTTTTAAGTGTCACCATGAAGAATTGACGCAAATATATATTTTCTGTGTTAACATTATTCATGCAAAAAGGTTTGTTGTAGAAAAATTTATTAATATCAACTAAAAGCCATTATTGTAAGTATTATTGAGTAAATAGTATTAAAAGTCTTACACAACCTAGTCAATTGCAACCAATGCTTCAAAAAAAATAATAATAATAAGAATGGTAAAAAGTAATATGGTGAATAGTTTCTTATTATTTGTGTCAACACTTGTGTTGATGCAAATATATATATGATTGACATAAATACTTTCGATCGTATTCAATGCTTTGGACATGTTTCAGTGAATTGTACTCAATGCTTTAGATATGTTTTAGTGGAGTGGGGAGTCAATAATTCTTTATTATTTGGGTTAACACTTTTGTTGATGTAAATATATAAGGTTAAGATAAATAACTGTTGTTGCCTTCAAAACACAGATTTAGTTTGTTTTGACATGTATTTTTTTAAAGTTTTTGTTTACTTCTCCTTTCTCTTTCATAAAAGCAACAAGGATCCACCGTTGATCTTATATTTTAATAACATTCATTAATATTTTGTCCCTACGAAGGAGACAAAAAGGTGAGGAAATCATTCTTTTAAAAGTTTTTTTTTAATTTTGTTAACCAAATTTGCATATTATCTATATCATATCTAACTCTGTCTTTTTTCATCCTTGAAATTGTGAAATTGTAAATTTAAGTATCTAGTCTATAAAAAAGAAACAAAAGAGTAAAAAGGTCATTCCTTTAAAAAAATTTTAATTTTTTTGCCAAACTTGAATGTTTAATATCCAGAGTTGACTTTCTCTTTTTCTTTTTTCTTTTTAGATTTAAGATTGTGTACATTTGACATTTGAAACTCTCAAAAAGTATATTTTATCTTATTAAAAATTTTAAGTTAAATGTAAATTTTGATTCCTTAACTTTAGAATTTTGCATAATTTTCATCTTAAAATTTTTTTATGCACTTTTTTTGTCTATCAATTATGAAATTATACCTTTTTTTAGTAATTCTGGTAATTAATCCATTAAATTTGTTTATATATATTTTGCCCTCGAAATAAAAATTGAAGGGCATAAAATATGCATATATTATAAGTTGAGAGATAAAAAATGTATATATTTAGATAGATATAATAGATTATTTGATAAAATGATTAAAAAATGCATTTTTTAACATTTAGGACCAAAAATGTACATAAAAAAGTTGAGGGACGAAAATTGAAAAACTGTCAAGTTGAGGACCAAAATTGTCATTTAACCAATATCTTTCGTTAAATGTTAATTTAGTCCTTGATCTTTTAATTTATAACATTTTAGTGCCAAAAATTTTAATTTTGAATATTTTAGTGCTTCAACTTATAATTTAAAACATTTTAGTTCCTAAATTTTTAATTTTAAACATTTTAGTTTCTAAACTTTTAACTTAGAACATTTTAGTCCCTAATATTTTCACTCAAATAATATAGTCCCTAAACTTTTAATTTTAAATATTTTCACCCTAAACTATTGTTTACACTTTTTTTGGTTCTTCAACTACAAAAACATACCTTTTTTTGTTCTTATGTAAGTTACTTTGTTAAGTTTATTCAAGTGTACACATTTTTAGTTCCTAAACTTTTAATATGTGCATATATTTAGCTTTGAACTACATATGTATTTAGATAAACTTAATTGACTAACTAGTGAAATGACAATAAAATACATTTTTCATAGTTTAAATATCAAAAAAGTGCAAAAAATAGTTGTGGACTAAAAAGAATACATGTTGTGACAAATAAATTGAACGTAAGGTGGTATTTTTTGGAATTAATTTATCTGGTTATGTTTCAATTCATTTATTCATAGTACACTTTAAAGTAATTAAATATAATGTTTTTTTTATCACTCATTAATAGATCACATGAGGTGTCAAACGATCGCAGTTATTCAACCCTCATGGGTTTCTTAGGGAAGAATTTAGTATAATAGTTGAGTTCTTTTTTGAAATTGTTTTTTTCCTAAACATGAGTTGTTAGTAGAAATAAAATAAAAGTTCCTTATAAGAAATGTGGTAATAGGTATTGAATAACTTGAGCTTATGCAACTATTTTAAATATCCGTATCAACCTCTTTCGTGTTGACGCAAATACGTTTCTGTCACACTTTTCAAAATTAGAATCAACATCTACTTAGCTAGCGCATTTGTTTTTCTATTTAAGTCAATTTCCCTTCTATTTACATTCATATTTTCTCACGCAAATGGGGTGGCATTCTTGTTTGTACAAATAAGAATTTTTATTTATGTTTTTATGTTTGATTATGTATTAAAAGTGTAGTGTGAGTTTTATTAAAGTATTTTAATAAATTTATAAATTAAAAACACTTTTTTTATAAGAATTAAATTGAAAAAAAAGTATAAAAATTACTAGTACAAAGAGAAGTTCAACAAATAATTAAATTGGGTGTGTACATGCATGTGTTTTGGTATAAATTGAAAACGAGAATACAAAATACTGTGAGAATGTAATGACATATACTACTCAGTAGCCTGGAAATAGTGGGGGAGGTGGTGAAGCGTATTCGAATCCCAAGTTTGGTGGCAGGACGATGTCCTCTGTTGGTGGTGGCGGTGCAAAAACAGGAGGGGGAGGAGGAGAAAGAACTGGTGCTGGAGGAGGAGGTGAGTGGACAGGTGGTGGTGGTGGTGAGTAAACAGGGGGTGGTGGGGAGGAAACTGGTGGAGGTGGTGAGTGAACAGGGGGTGGTGGGGAATGGACAGGTGGTGGTGG